TAGAATAGCAGAGTTAGAAGGGACCTTGGAGATCTTCTAGTCCAACCCCCTGCTCAGACAGGAAGCCCTATATACCATTTCAGACCAAAAAAAGGTTGGAGTTTATATACAGGCTTGTATTCAACTCCCGTCGTTGAACATGGTGGGTTTTACTTCTCAGTAAGCTTTAATTGGGTTGCACTATCAATTCTTAAACCAAAGAATTTAAAAACATTTATGGAATTTGTTATGGGGGGGCTTTTTGTGTGTGCAGATATTCAGATATTCTGGATGTGATTTTTATAACCCAAATGATAGTTTGAACAACAAAAAAAGCAAGTTCCAAAGTTCCTTTTTTTCCCCAAGAGGCAACTGGACTTTCCTTGTTTCTCTTTGAAGACGTTTTGCTTCTCGTCCAAGAAGCCTCTTGAGCTTCAGAACTGAAGAAGCTTCTTGGATGAGAAGCGAAATGTCTTCAAAGAAAAACCAGAAAGTCCAGTTGCCTCTTGAAAACAACAACCAGGGCCTGGATGACTGAGAATCTCCATAAACAACAACAAAAAAGGAAGAAATTGATTCTGGTCAACATGCCCTATTCATACTAAGATGAGCTTGTTCCTTTAGCGATGGTGTTTTAAGGTTGCAAATAACAGTTTTATTTTCTTACTTTTTTTAAAATTGATTTTTTATTCATGACATTTCTTAGTGCTTAATAAACACCATGTCTGGGTGTTTAATTTGTTTAACCATTCTGGTTATATTCTTCATCTCCGCCCCTTTTTTTGCAACCACTGGTAAAATAGATTCCATGTTTGATAGCATCCTATGTCTTCTTTCTGCTTAATTTTCAAGGTCAATCTGTCCACTTCTGCGCAGTCTAGTTAGCATCTTCTTCATTATCTCTTCGTCTCACGGTGTTTCTTCATTTTTCCAATATTGTGTTCGCTGCTGTTAAGACATGTAATACTAAATGCATACTTTCCTGATCTCATTTTTCTGATATTATACCCAGGTTTTAGCAAAGGATTCTCTGCCCAGTGGCTGGATGGACGTGGCCACGTGGGAACTCCTGGGAGGGGAGGGGCAGGGTGGGCGGGCCCAGCCAGGAGTGGGATTTGGGGGTTTCCCAAACTGCACAGGATCTTAGCTACACCACCTCCCGAACCTTTGTGAACCCCCAGCACCCCACCCCTGATTATACCTAATAAAAACAATGTTTTGTTTTGTTTTTTTACCTTAAGGTATCAACTCAATCTCTTTGCAAGGATGTGTTTGGACCGCCAGTATTTGGCTATAAATCAAATTTCCACCCAGTTGTCGGTGGATTTAATCTTACGGTGCATGTCAGATGAAAGCCTGCCTTATGAACTGCGAGCATCGTTTTGTCGCTTAATGCTACACATGCACGTCGACAGAGATCCTCAAGAGACGGGGGTTCCCGTGAAGTACGCCAGGCTGTGGACAGAAATTCCTACCAAGATTACGATCCATGAGTAAGTTCCTTTCTGGAAACGACAGGTGGATCCTTCAACGATAATGGGGGGTTCTCAACTTACGAGCGATCGCTAAATGACTGTTCCAAGTTATGATGGAGTCGAAAAAAAGTTAACCATGTCCAGGGGTGGGATTCAGCTGGTTTGAAATGGTTCAGTCGAACTGGTAGTTCCAGCTATCAGTTGGCCCCACCCGCCCCTGCGCTAGTTAACAAATGTCTCACTTAGTGACAGAAACTTTGAGCTCCATTGAAGTCGTAAGACAAGGGCTACCTGGAATTAGGGGTGGGTTAATCCAGTGGTGGGATTCAAATAATTTAACAACCGGTTCTCTGCCCTAATTATTTCTTCCAACAACCAGTTCACCAAACTGCTCTGAAAGTTAACAACCAGTTCTCCCGAACTGTTGCGAACCGGCTGAATCCCACCACTGGGTAAGTGTAATCTCAGGATTTGAAATTAAATGGATTTGCTATCCATTGGGGATATCTACAGGATCTTAGATTTTGTTCTGACCAAGGCTTCTGAGACCGTAATTACTCTGTTTGCAGGTACGACTCCTTCACCGATTCATCCCGAAATGACATGAAGAGGAAGTTCGCCTTCACGATGGAATTTGTCGAAGATTATTTGAAAGAAGTTGTCAATCAGCCTTTCCCTTTTGGAGACAAGGAGAAGAACAAGCTGACATTTGAGGTTACCATTTTGTCACAATAATAATCTGGGGCAGGAGCAACTCCTATCTTTCTAGATTCCCCCTCCCCCCCTCATGTCAGGCTGTGAAATGTCCCAGCTGGCGCTGCTGAAATTCAGCCTTTGAAAAATGGACATGTAATATTAGTTTGGGGCAAAATTTGAGAAAAAAATGGAAGGAGGAGGTTGCTAGTAGGAAAGAAAGAGCCATTTTTATTTCTTGGCTTAAAAAAAAACCTTCATTATTTAGCCCACCTAAGCAAAACACAGATTTGTCTCTTTGAATGCTCAGATGTGAGGAACATTGGATATTTGGGGCACGGACTACAAAGTCCAAAAAACAAGCCAGGAAGATTCCTGTAACATCACAGCAGTTCTTCTGGAGCCCTCTAAAACATGCAGGAGATAAGCCAGTGGAACTACTTGCCACCAGAAGTTGTGGGTGCTCCAACAGTGGAGGTTTCTAAGAAGAGATTGGACAGCCATTTGTCTAAAAACAGTATAGGGCTTCCTGCCTGAGGAGTGGGGTTGGACTAGAAGACCTTCAAGTTCCCTTCCAACTCTGTCATGCTGTTATAGTTGAGGTTCTGACTCAACTTTATGGCATCTGGGTGGCTATAGTTGGGACGTTGGGAGAAAACATCTTAAACCCAAGGTCGTGTGATCAAAATTTTGGCAATTGGCTCATATTTATGGCATTTGCAGAATCTAGGGTTACAGTGTGTGATCCCGTTTTGCGACCTTCAAAAAATCCACAGGGAAATCAGATTCACTTAACAACCATGTTACTAACTGAACAACTCATTTAACTGTGGCAAGAAAAAGTCATAAAACGGGTGAGGGGAAACACACTAACAACTGTCTTGCTTAGCCAAATAAAATTTTGGGCTCCATTTTGGTCATAAGTGGGGATAAATTCTTGAGCAATAACTATGTCGGTCCGTTCATTGCAAGCCTAGTGTCAGGATTCTCGTTCTTGTTTTTTAATTTTTCTGTCTCTGTTCTTTTTTTATATATTTTTCTTAGGTGGTGCACCTGGCTCGCAATCTCATATACTTTGGTTTTTATAGTTTCAGTGAACTTCTCAGGCTGACCAGAACGCTATTGGCTATCCTTGATATTGTACAAGTGCCCATGTCTACCTACTTTGAAAGATTAAGCAAATTTCAGGATGGAGGTAAGGGGGGGGGGAATAAACAGCATCAGAACAACAGAAAACGCTTGTTCAAGAAATAAGTGTATGAGTTATGAAGAAATGCGTCCGTAGAGGAGAGGAAACAATGGCACAACTTAGCAACTTGTTTGTATGACTGGTTTTGGAAAAGGGGGAGGAGGAGGGGGAGGACTGTGGGGGTCCTTGATGCTCTCTGAGCTTGGTGGTTTTCTTGCAGACGTTTCCTTATCCCGCTAGGTAACATCATCAGTCCTAGAAGAATGCAGGATTTGTAGAGAAAAGGAGAATAAATGGTAGAGGAGGAGGACGAGGAGGAGGAGGACTGTGGGATTTGGGATTTGCAAGGGAGAGCAAATAAAATAATGCAAGAATAAAAGGAATGATTCAAGATGGTTATTTCCAGGAAGCTATTAAAAAAAATAAGATTATTTGTAGATGAAATGTTTTAGCTGTCTTGGCTACTTGTTAAAGTACAAGTTACATTTAATATATTGTTTATAAATCTGAATATGACGCATGCTTTTGCACATAAGAGATATTTACATAATGGTGTTTGGAAAAAAAAAGTTAGATGGTGGATGAAGCAGTGGGATCAAAGCTCTGTCATTTTTCTGTTTGTGTGTCACATAAGCTTTGATGGCAGATCGTGGTTGTTTTTTTTACTAAATCCAAAGCTTTTGAAAAGCAACCTATTTTGCAATCAGCTAGAGCTCAGTTGAAATTCTTGTTTTTCACTCTTTATTTTTCAGTTGCTGAATAGCACTTTTAGCACTTGGGTAATTCTTGTTCTGCAAAAATTTCCAGGGTTTTTGGGAGGGAACAGGGGTGATGAAGAAAAAAAAACCACCCTGTAATCACTATAATTACAATTTCTATTTCATTATAGTAGATTTTTCCAACACCTGTTCCTCGTTAATTTGAAATATAATTGCCTTCCTTTTGTAAATTTGTAAACGTCTTATGTAAAAGTGGAAAGCTTTTGACTTTTCTTGATTGATATAGATTAGAGTTTGTCTCATAACCTATTTCAACGGTGAATGCTAAAATTACCTGGTTTTGTTTCCCTGTTAAAACTCTTCCCGGCTGAATTCATTTGGTGTCGCATAAATTGCAATATTTAAATAGAAAAGATTGAATTCCCCCTTAATTTAATTTCTTCTTAACTGCAGAGTGCTTCTCTTTAATGTCCTTTTTGTATTATTCTTATAGGATGGATTAGTAAGACAATCATTTTGACTTCAACTCATTTCATTGAGTTGCAATTAGTTGTTAAAGTCTCGGTGTTCAGTTTGTTTAGTGGTGTCCAAAATAAGATTTTGTTTCACAGCAGGTCCTTCCAAAGAAAACTTTGACACTGTGTGAATGAGCTTTATGAACGAGCCTCAGTGAGAATGGATACCCTTTGGCATCGCCATTATATTTCTATTTATTCAGTCAATGGCCAGCAAATTTTAGAAGAGTGAATCAAATAATATACTAATAACTAGCTAAACAAGCCACATAGCATTTTATTATGCTGATATACTTGTTACTAAGATGTTAAGTCTAAAATATTAAGTGGTATAAAATAAAAACAAAAACTATACAGCCCCTAACAATTTATTAATTATGATAATATATTTACTTCACGGAGGATATACCTTGGTTATGGCCATTATTCAGTGATCCAGATCTAACAATTTATCCTCTGAATGCCCAGCCGGCCTATGCCCTTCCCCAGTTTCCTCCACAACCTCCGGAGCCACACTCCCACTCCCTGTCAGCTGCTCCATCTCTCCCTCAGAGTCAGACTCCAACCGGGGCATGACATTGACTTTCTCATGGATCTTCTTTTAAGTCAACCCTTACGACTCTCAATCTCTCTATTGCTCATCCAGAGTTGCCCTTGTTATCTTCCTTATTTCCAGGAAACAATGTGATGAGAACCATTCATGGTGTGGGCGAGATGATGACTCAAATGGTCCTCAGCAGAGGTTCTATCTTTCCTGCCTCTTTGCCTGATATTCCCCCAAGCGTCCACCGAAGCAAGCCAGCTAACCTGGTGGACAGTGAGGATATCACTGTGATGGATACCAAGTTAAAAATTATCGAGATTTTACAGGTAATAATCTGCCCTATTCCTTACATTCTGAGAAAAGGACTAAATATAGGTTACTTTGCCTTTCGGTCGGAGGCATTTCCTTCTCCTCCCTTGTGAGTTAGGGAGATTTTCTGGAGTTAGGATGGGACAGAGGATGACATGCAAAGCATAGAATAGAACTGAACAGAACAGAATAGAATTCTTTATTGGCCAAGGGTGATTGGACACACAAGGAATTTGTCTCCGGGTGTATAAGCTGGTATGCATGCATCATTTGTGTCTGTACCCTTGTGCCACTGAATAAATACTTTTCATTTTGCCTGGAGAACTCAGTGCTTCGGACTGCGGGTGTATGCAGAAAAGCCACTTTGCAAAAGTTAAATGTTTTCTGTCCCAATTCAGAGAATAGAATAGAATAGGAGATAGATGATGAATAGAATATAGAAAAGAGAGGAGAGGAGAAGAAAAGAGAATAATGGATTGAAGAATAGAAAATAGAATAGAATAGAATAGAATAGAATAGAATAGAATAGAATAGAATAG